TTGGATCGCTACGTGGCGGGCCTGAAATACGAGATACAATACGAGGTCCGACGAACCCGGCCACGCAGCTTCAACGACGCCGTCCGGGAAGCCGAGTCAACGGATGCGCTGATGCAGTGGGCGAGATCGAGCTCCCGGGAGGGCCCTCGATTTCGTGGACTGCCGCAGCAGCCCACGATTAACGGCGTGGATGCACCGAGCCGAGCCCTTGGGCCGTGCTTTCAATGCAACCAGCTGGGTCACCTGAAGAAAGACTGCCCGAAGCTTAAGCAGGGGAAGAAGAACGACGGAGAAGGGTCGGGAAAAGATGTGAGTCAGTAGCAGAAGGGCCACCTACTGACGAGACCCTGTCGCCCGACAATCACCATCCACACCGGGTCGTGGTACCGATCAGAGCTATCGACCAGAACCGGACGAATAACGTGGGTGAACACGTGGACTACCCTGTGCTGGTGGTGGGGAGGGTTAACGGTTATAAAATAAAAATATTCGTTGACGGTGGGGCGAGCCACAGTCTCGTCAACCTGGCAACGGCCAAAAAAATAGGGGTGAAGCTGACCAGGTGTCTGCCGGAGATCGATGCAAGGCTGGTGGATGGGACACCGCTGGCCATCCGAGATGAGGCGCGACAAATTCGGATAAAGTGCGGCGACAATTTCGGGTTTGGCATGAAAATGTTGGCGACGACATTGGACGGCTGCGATGTGCTGCTGGGGAGGGATTGGCTACAGCGATTCAATCCGACGATCGACTGGACGACTGGGGCGTGCGTCGTGCGAGGATACGGAGGGAAGACGACGCTTCCGAAATGGACGGAGCCGGAGCCGGTGACGACACGTGTCAACGCGGTCAACATGCAGCGTGCGATGAACAGCGGAGCTCAGACCTTCTTGGTGCACCTGTACGAGGTGGCAGCTTCCGAGAAAATCGCGGACATCGACACCCTCTGCGCAGCAGTCCCCGAGGAATTGGCGAGCATCATTCGGAAGTATCCCGAAATTTTCGCGGATGACCTCCCGGATGGCTTGCCCCCCCAACGACCTGAGGATCATCGGATCCAGCTGGAGCCGGGAGCGCAACCTACTGTACGGTCACAGTGGCGGCTCAGCCAACCAGAGCTCGCCGAGTTGCGGGCACAGCTGGATTATCTACTCGCCAAGGGCTTCATCTGGCCAAGCACGTCGCCGTATGCAGCGCCGATACTGTTCACGCCGAAGAAGGACGGGGGCCTAAGAATGTGTATTGATTATCGGGCGCTGAATCGGGTCACGATAAAATCGCGTTACCCGATCCCGCGAACTGACGATCTGCTGGATCAACTTCGCGGAGCTCGGTATTTTTCGAAGATCGACTTGCGAGGAGGCTACCACCAAATTCGCGTGTTCGCCGACGACTGCCCGAAGACCGCTTTTCGCACACGTTACGGCAGTTATGAGTTCACAGTGATGCCGTTCGGTCTGACAAACGCGCCCTCGACGTTCCAGCTCACCATGAACGGGATTTTTCGGGACATGCTGGACAAAAAAGTCATCGTGTACTTGGACGACATTCTGGTGTACAGCGCGACAAAAGAGGACCATCTGCGGGATTTAGAGGAGGTGTTCCGGCGTTTACGAGGGCATCGGCTCATTACGAAGGGGTCTAAGTGCGAGTTCCTAAAGCCGGAATTAGAGTTTTTGGGGCACGTGGTTTCTGGCGAAGGGATTAAAATCGACCCGCGTAAGGTGGACGCCATCGCTAAGTGGAAGCCGCCTACTAATATCCCTGAGTTGCAAAGTTTTTTGGGATTTGTTAACTACGTTCGTCGTTTTGTACCTAATATGGCAGGGATAACCAAGCCGCTGACCGACCTGCTGCACCACGACAGTGATTTTCGGTGGGGGGAGAGGGAGCAGTCCGCCTTCGACGCCCTCAAAAACATTTTGAAGTCACCCCCTGTACTCCGCCTCGCCGACCCATCTCGACCGTTCGAAGTCGTCACGGACGCCAGCGATTTCGCCGTCGGCGCCGTCCTGCTACAGGACTTCGGCAAAGGGCTGCAACCCATCGCCTACGAATCACGCAAGATGCACCCACCCGAGCGCAACTACCCAGTCCACGACAAGGAGATGCTGGCCATCGTCCATGCATTCCGCGTCTGGCGCTGCTACCTCACGGGAGCCGACGTGACTATTCGAACCGACCACAAATCGCTACAGTACATGCGCACGCAACCGACACTCAACCCGCGACAAATCCGGTGGCTGGACTTTCTTGAGTCCAACTTTCGGTACAACATCACGTACAAAAAGGGCGCCAACAACATCGCCGACGCCCTCACCCGACCATCCATGCAAAACGCGGCGGTGCTAATCGCCCACACCAACCCGATGCTGACGGGACTATTCACCCACGGCTACAAGATCGACAGGTTTTTTCGGAACCCGCAACAACAGGCTGCTACACCGCACGGCAAGTACTACCTAAAAGCCGGTACTAACCGGATTTGGGTACCAGCATACCAGCCTTTACGGGAGCTGCTGACGCAGGAGGTTCACGACTCCAACCTTTCCGGGCACTTCGGCACCGACAAAACACTGAAGCTGCTGCAGCGGAATTATTACTGGCCGGACATGTTAACCGATGTGCAGCGCTACGTGTCAACCTGCCCGACCTGCCAAGCAATGAAGTCGTCGCGACAAAGGCCAGCCGGACTACTGCAACCCCTCGAGCCACCCGAACGACCGTGGCAACAGGTGACGATGGATTTCGTCACGGGGCTACCAGCTGGCGCGAGTGGCAACGACTCGGTAATGGTCGTCGTCGATCGCCTAACGAAAATGGCGCATTTCGCCCCATGCCGCACGACGATCACAGCCGAAGAAACTGTTCATCTCCACCGTCGTACGCTTACACGGGTTACCTTCGGCGATCATCAGCGATCGTGATCCGAAGTTCACGTCGAAGTTCTGGCAGGAGACGTGGGCACAGTACGGTACCCGCCTGCAGTTTTCGTCGTCATACCACCCGCAAACCGACGGACAGACGGAACGGACAAATCAGACCATGGAGCAACTGATTCGCACCAACTGCCCCGACATCCGCAAGTGGGAGGATTCGCTGCCGATGCTGGAATTTGCGTACAACAACGCCCCTTCGGCCACGACTCGACAGTCACCGTTCTTCCTAAATTACGGGATAGACCCCGTGGTACCCTCTTCAACGACTGTGGACAACCCGGTACCACGATCACAACAATTTGTCACGGAGCTGCAGACCGCCCGCACGAAAGCAGCTGATTTTATTCGACGGGCTAATACCACAGCCAGCCACCAGGCGGACAAGCATCGACGGAATTTACCCTTCCGCGCAGGGCAGGTTGTGCTACTCGACACAAAAAATCCCCGGCTGCCGCAGCCCGCGAAATTACGGCTTCGATACGTGGGACCCTTTCGTATCATCCAGATGGTGACACCTGTCACCGCGAAGCTGTTGCTACCCGATGACTGGAAAATCCATGACGCATTCCACGTCAGCCTACTGCGTCATTACGAACAGCCGCAGTCGCCAGCTGTTGCTCGGCCATCCCTCGCGCCGACCACACGCCCCGTGGCAGAGCCCACGCTGGAACCTTGGAAGATTCTCAACCATCGTGTGGAGGTGACCGCCGCCGGCCGCTCGGTCAAGTTCCTGCTTCGCTGGAAAGAACGCACGAGCGAGGACGACACGTACGTCAACGCGGACTCGCTACTGGGACATCCGGTTGTGGATGCTTACCTGGCCCGCCGAGGTGTCTCGGATATTCACCACCTTTCTTAAAGGGGGGGGGTAGTGTAAGGAATTTTTCGGATTCCTTACTGGGTCACTCCGTACGCGTACAACCCCGACTTTCGGAAAACCAGGCTCGGTCCGCCGACCTCGCCTTCCGAGCCACCACCGCGTCGCCTTCGGGTTTTCCAACCCCGAACCTGCACCCAACCATCTCGCGACCCCGCGACCTCGGCCTAGCTAGGACTTGCTATATTGTGCCTAGGCCTCGTTGTTCATGCAGACGTTGTAATCACTTCCGCATTATTGAGTTCTGCGCACTCTCTTCTTTCACAACTCATAACAAATTGCCTGCTCCAAACTACGAGCATATGCGACCGTCACAAACGGATTTTTTATCTTCCCGTGCGAGTAGTTTCGAGGGCCCCGCTGTTGCCCTCAGGTAGGTTAATGACGCGAAATTTTCTCGCAGCACATGTAGGCACATCAGGTGTTTTCGCTTCCGGTTTCCATTTCGCACCTGAAATCGCCGGGTCGCCAGTTTCCCTTGCACTTTGTCCGAGGTGATGACGTGGAATCTGGGGGTGAAGTGAGTGTCCAGGTGGCGCGGGAACTGGCGTGAGCTTCGCAAAATCTGGTGCCTGATTTCAGATATTGTCTAGGTACGAATCACCTCAAAAATAACCCCTTTGACAGCAGGGCACTATTTGCGGCATCAAATTTTCGGCTTCACCGTACTGAACCATTCGGAAAGCCTGGGTGCTACTAGCGTGGTCTGCAAGTATCACATGGCGTGAAATGCGATTTGAAGCATCAGGTTTCAGGCGAAAAATAGAAGAGAAGAAAGCAATGTTGCCCATTCAGCACGACTACTAGATCTCATCAGTGACGGCCGCCATCCAAGGCATGGCAGGAACCAGTTATTTCCGAGACATGAGGTCACCTGGGACCGACATCGCAAGTCCCGACCCGAGTCTCGTGCTATCTGACCCAGACAACCTCGTTTGAGTCGAGTAGCAGCGACTTCCACGGCGAAGGCTGCCCGGCACAGTCCTAGTTCTATCTTCCTGGCTGGTAGTAGTAACGCATGCCATAGCCCTCCAACTGCATTCTGGTGTTTCACACTAGTAGGCAGCTCGACTGGTATAAAAGAACCTGTGCTTGTCTCGAGTCACTTTATTTCATCCGGATCGAGCCTCCTTTCCTTCTCAAGTATCAGCGCTATCGCAAGTGTAGTACCTCAAAGAGCCGCCATGGCCCAGATGTCGCTGCGACCAGCGTTCGTCCTCGCTGGTGAGTTGACCATTTTCCTCACCGCGAATGCTGGTACCTGGTCCCTCTGCTCACCAACGTTGCTTTCACCCTCTCTGCGTTATTTGGGAAAATCTGCGTGATGCTTGGATTTTCTCATTCTCGGGTTCGCAGCGCCTTGTTGAGCGACTTTAACCCTAATATCTGGTGCACGTCTTGTCCCCATGCAGTGCTGCTCTCTCTCACCTGCGGTGCCATCGCGGGGCGCCATCTGCTCCAAACTGGCAGCACTTATTGTACGACAAAACCTCTTGCTGCATGCGGCGCTCGTGTTCTCCTCTTTGTCCGCGTTATCTTTTTGTACGCGCTACCCTTTCGTTCAATACAGTAAGGGCAACCTCATGCTTGCAGGTTCCTGTCACCATTCCGTTGCTCCGTTGCTGGTTCTCTGTTCCTTATCCGTCCACTGCTCCTGTTGTCGCTCTCCCTTCCGTCTCGCCGGTGCGCAGACAAAGCAACGTCTACCGTGACTAATCTCAAATATGCTACTACTGTTTCGACCACGCTGACTGTTAACGTGTAAGCCTTACACATGTCTCACCTGGTTTTCCCAAATGATGGTAGCAGATTTCCAACACAGACTACGTATGCTTTCTACCTCATTCACTCTTCAACCTCGCTATCTACACTGTACACATTCATGACTCGTTCACTCTTACCACGCCGAACGTGTACCGAGATGTCCCCAATAGTAGCAGCAGCTTAAATAATTCCGAGTGCACTTGGAAATTTGCAATCTTTGCCGTCCTCTCATCCTCCCTGTCTCCCCCACATTCCCTCCACCTCCCCTCCCCTTTGCAGCACAACCACTTACCAGTTTACAGACTTCAATGTGCGCATTACAGGCTCAAGAGCCACGAAGGCCACAGATTTTTACGGACCGGCGTACTTGGACCATAGTAATGGCCTGAAGGTTGTGGCCCAGATGACCTGCACATTCACCCTCATTCATCCTTCTACCAACGAATGGGGCTGCCACAATGTGGACAAGGTTTCACTCATTGATGCTTCCCAGCCAGTCAGCACCTTGAAGACGTTAATTGACGCTGGGATGTTCAAAAATCCTTCGAACTTTACTTTTGGACTTAAAGTTATTGGCGTCGTGATGGAGGGGCCGGTCTCAACCACTGTCACCAGCTACTGAGTGGCATACACCGAGAGATTCTCCAGTCGTTGGATTTGAATTTGGAATGAATTCCATTTCTATTACCATAACATGTGTCTTAGTACTACTGGCCCTGAACCATAATAGGAGATTCAAGAATTTTAAGACTACAAGCGTTAAGCAAAGGTTCGAGTATGGGACCTTAGTACCGTATCGCCCCGGATATAACCGCAGGCCTATTAAAAGCGCATGCGCTTATATCTGGAGCAATGCGCTTATGCCCGATCCTCAATTATAAGCGCACCCCCTGTAAAAACTTTTCTTGTTATAAGCGCATGCATTAAAAAAAAAAATGTTCCTGATTGGGTACCGTAAAGATTTTTCGCTTTGCAGCGAGTCTATGACCTTTGCTGTGACACGCTGGACAATTCGGCCAAAATTAGGGCGCGTAACCATTTTGTTTTTTCTTGAAGTTGCGTTTAAAAACGAACGCTCGGTAAACGGACGGTTCCGTTTCCACAACGGAACCGTCCGTTAAACGAAACAGTCCCAGAAGCATCGAACCGTAAGATGGAACTTTTTCAGTGCTCAAATTGTGCACGAACTACTACTCAGTTACGCACAGTCGCAGCAGTCGCAATTTTCGCCAGCAACCAATGCGACGCGGCTTCAAATTACGAAACTCAAAACACGTTTTGGAGCCACAGCAACAAAGAAGCAGCCAAGGTTCCACGCTTCTATGCTCATATACACAGCACCAACAGATAATCCCCAACACGTGCCGACGGGCTTCGTGAGGCTCCTGAAAGCTTGGCGCGGCCCGGTTTCTCCCCATGCCAGGCATTGGTTGGGCGGCGCTATCACTGGCTGCTCCTGAGCGCTGTCCCACGCTGTCGTGCTGTGTTGGTGTGCCAGACGAAATGACGATTGGCTCCTCCGACGGTGCAGGTACATCTTGCGGTGCTGGGTTGCTCGCCGTGGCTTGCTGACGCGCGGAGTCACGTTCCGCCGTGAGCGTCGCGATTTCGAGCGCCGATTCTTCAACTTGGCGCACCAGGCGGTCGAGCTGCTCCTGCGTCAGAGTCGCGAGCAGGCCCTCAGATATCAGCGTAAAACACGCTGATTAGGCTGATTTTGTAGCTGTGATTTTCGTTTTCCCTGAAATTTCAGTATATTCTTTATGTTTGCACTGATTTTTCAGTTTGAAGTGTAGGACTACCCTGACGAATTTGTGTGTAGGTGTACCAGTAACACTGAAGCTTCAGTACAGTGTACCGAGTCCATCGCACGAAGAATGATGTTTGCTGGCAAGCTGTGGGTAGTCTTGCAGCTATCTAGAGGGAAAGGGGCCCCATTCAACCTGGCAGCAATGCCGGTTGCCGATTGGTGGCAACCAGTATCGGCTGGTTGTTTAGGATTGGTTTCGGGGGTACACATTTCCAGCAAATCTTTCGCTATCTGCCGAGTGTTCCGTTTTGGTTGGACAAGGGACATCCTGTTTCGTAAAACCAGGTGTAACTTTTTCGCTTTGTACTTCGAGTTCCATGATTGGTGTTCGCAACCCACTCGGGGCCTAAGGGGATATCGGAATGTCGATAGAGCTGACATGTGATTGGTGCAGTCTGCTGTTATTTTTCGCTTTCAACTTTGGTAACTCCATGGACTGCATCTCCATTTTCCAGCATCCCAAAGTTGTCCCCAAGAGTCCGAACGGACTCTTTCTGGACGGATTCCGGACGTGCAGAAAAAGAGACTTTTTGGACCAAGGCCTGCTACATTCCGGAGTCTGTTTTAGGTCCGACCAAAGAGTCCGCGAAGAGTCCATTTGGACAATACGAAAAGCGAAGGCAATATGTGTACATCACGTACCCGATATACTAAGATGCGTTTTACCAATAAAATTTATACCCAACCATTGTTTACATGATTTTTAATAAAGAACATGCAAAGGCATTTCTACTTATACAAACTGCTAGAAACTAAATAATGCATTGCCAGATAAATATACGAACCCCCATTAGTTAATGCTTAAAAGAAAAATAACCTGCACGGATTGAAGAACAATATTGAATGAGCCACAAGGTCCATTCCAAAAAATAATAACTACAAAATTGCTTATACTAAAACGTACAAACCGTGGTGACTGATGACACATTGTCCAACAAGGTTGAAAATAGTCACCAGAAACGATTGAAACAAACATCTCCATTTACACGGTGATTAATACATCTCTGAATACAAGAAAAACCAATAAGTACAAGACACACTGGCTATATCAACAAATCATTAAGCAAATTGAGCACCACCTTTGATGGGGCCTCTTACCAGCAACAGGGTAAGCAGCACCCGTCACGACCCTTTGCAGCGTCCTGACAAAGCAGCGCCCGACGCGTACCTTAGTGATAGAGAACTAAATGGCGGCTGTGAAATATTAAACAAAACCTTCAGATTGCGAGCACTTTCAAAGGGGAGGAAACTGTTAAACTGTATTATGCTTGTAGGCTGTAGTGGGGTAGCCAATATGGGGTACAACCCCAACTAGGGTTTCATATTTGTACCCAAACTTCTGCTAGTTCAATCATTCTTGCCTAGTGATTCTGACATGGTATTCAGAGCAGGAGGTCCCTAGGACCTACCGACCGTTTTTTTAGGGCCCACCACCGCTCGCATGCGGTTACCACGCTACCCCGTGCCCTAGCCTCGTAGCGCCCTCGTGCGCCCACGTTAGCGCCCTCGCGCGCCCCTCGTTAGCGCCCTCGCGCGCACCCTCGTTAGCGCCCTCGCGCGCCCCTTCGTTAGCGCCCTCGCGCGCCCCTTCGTTAGCGCCCTCGCGCGCCCCTTGCTAGCGCCCTCGCGCGCCCCTCACTAGCGCCCTCGCGCGCCCCTCACCGAGCCGCCCGCTCGCAGCCCGCCCGCCCGCTCGCTGCCCGCTTCGCGGCCCGCTCACTACGCAGCCCGCCCGCCCGCTCGCTGCCCGCTTCGCGGCCCGCTCGCTCGCTGCCCGCTTCGCGGCCCGCTCGCTCGCTGCCCGCTTCGCGGCCCGCTCGCTACGCAGCCCGCCCGCCCGCTCGCTGCCCGCTTCGCGGCCCGCTCACTACGCAGCCCGCCCGCCCGCTCGCTGCCCGCTTCGCGGCCCGCCCGCTTCGCAGCCCGCTCGCTCGCTGCCCGCTTCGCGGCCCGCCCGCTTCGCAGCCCGCTCGCTCGCTGCCCGCTTCGCGGCCCGCCACTTCGCAGCCCGCCCGCCCGCTCGCTGCCCGCTTCGCGGCCCGCCCGCCTCGCAGCCCGCTCGCCCCGCTGCCCGCTTCGCGGCCCGCCCACTTCGCAGCCCGCCCGCCCGCTCGCTGCCCACTTCGCGGCCCGCCCGCATCGCAGCCCGCTCGCCCCGCTGCCCGCTTCGCAGCCCGCCCGCCCGCCCGCTGCCCGCTTCGCGGCCCGCCCGCCTCGCAGCGTCGCCCGCCCGCCGTGCTGCCCGCTTGCAGCGCCGCCTGCCCGCCGCGCTGCCCGCTTCCCGGCCCGTCCGCCGCGCTGCCCGCTCGCAGCGTCGCCCTCCCGTCGCACTGACCGCTTGCAGCGCCGCCTGCCCGTAGCGCCAGCCTCGCCCGCTGCTCTCTATCCGTGCACAGTCGCCTTCCCCTGCTGCGGCAGCTTGCGTTACTCTGTCACACTGTCGCTATGGCTTCCATTCGCGTGCTGTCGTTCGATGCTGAGGGCCGCCCTGTGCGTTTCACCGCTTGGCTAGATGACCTGCAGCTGTTCCTCCTGAGCGATAGCAAGGAGCATGTGTCGCTCTATGACTACGCGTCTGGTGCTGCGCCTGCCCCTCCTGCCACAGCTGAGCTTAGTGTTCGTTCCCACTGGCAGACTCGTGACGCAGCTGCTCGCCTAGCCATTCGCAGTCACCTGCCGTTAGCTGAGCTAGAGCATTTTGGCGACTGCAAATCCGCTAAGGCCCTGTACGACGCTGTCGTCGCTCGCTACTCCTCGCCTGCCACAGCCGAGCTTAGCCGCCTCATGCTGCCGTACCTGTTCCCCGATCTGTCCACCTTTACTACAGTCGCCGATCTTATCACCCACCTGCGCACTAGTGATGCTCGCCTGCGTGCCGCCCTTCCCACCGAGTTCTGCGCTAAGAACCCCCCTCCACTGTACTGGACACTCCACTTTATAGTCACTCGTCTCCCTGACACCCTCCGCTCAGTTCGAGACCACTTCCTTGCTCGCTGTCCCACTGAGCTCACAGTCGCCCTCCTAGAGGAGCACCTGCTCGCGGCCGAAAAGAGCATTGTAGCTGTCGGTGCTGCTCGTGGCGCTCCTCGCACCCCCATCTTTGAGGGGTGTTCTCCCTCTCCCCTCGCTCCCTCCTACGCTGCTGCTGCTGCTGTTGACTTCCTTGGTGCTGAGTCTGTTGGCGCTGCTTCTGCTCCTGGTGGGAGGCGCCGCACCGGCAAGGGCAAGGGGGGCAAGGGTGGTGGTGGTGGCGCTGGGGGAGGAGGTGGGGGAGGTGGGGGGGGAGGCGGTGCTGGAGGGAGCGGTGGCGGGAGCGCTGGTGGGAGTGGGGTCGGGGGTGGAGACGGGGGCGGCGGAGGAAGCAGTGGCAGTAGTGGCGGCGGCGGCAGTGGCGGCGGTGGCGGTGGTGGCGGTGGTGGCGGTACCGGTCGGAGCGGTGGTAGTGGTGGCGGCGGAGGTCGGAGTGGAGGCACTGGCTCGGGCCAGAGCTCCCAGCAGCAGCAGCGTCCCCAGACGACCCAGCAGCTTCGTGAGTGGCTTGCTCAGCGTGGGACGTCGGGGGCCAGTGCCCGCTGTTCTTATGTCATTCGCACAGGTGACCGCAAGGGACAGACGTGTGGGAGGTTCCACACCCCGTACCGCTGCTTCTCCCGCCTTGACGACGCTTGGCGTGAGGAGATGGGTGCGGATGTTGAGCGCCCCCGCTGGGCTGAGCTCATGAGGGCTGGTGTTGATGTCTTTGCTCTTGACTATGATGCTATTATTGCTGCCATGTATGCATTGACTGTTAGTGCCGAGGGAGACTGTTACTT